TGCTCTAATGAAGATAGCGATGGATTGTTTTGTTCAGTGTCGTCTTCAGGAACCAGATCAACGTGACGGTGTAAAGCCGTTTGAGAGTTTGCAAAGCAACTGCCATCTATAAACGTTTTAAACCAAAAAATCTGTCGCAAAGGATACTTTATCAATGGAGGTTTGAAGACGACGAGAGCTGCCATTAAGAAGACATAAACTAGAAATACAATCCAGAACCAATAGTCGTTGCAATCTCGTGTTAAAGTACAGTTCGTTGACCACAGAGCCTCTGAATAGCCAGAAGAACACATCCCACACATAAAACCAGTACGTTTACCTTGACAAGCATTGTACTTAGTGCTGTCAGATGGCGGGGACTTGCAGTAGCCAAACGGACAAGTGATGAAAGCCAACGTAGGTGGATTCGAACCAGTTTTATATCCCCAAAAGTTTGACTTTGATCTAATGTATGGGAACACACTGCGCCTCGCGGGCATGGAGGCACTGGAAACTAGAGCCTACATTTAATCCTCTCCCCGTTCCTCTTTGCAGAGAGTAGAGGTTATAGTCACATTTCCTGCATGATAGCGTGAGTGCGCTGACATTACGATCGTCCGCGCCGAAGTAATGATAATAATCCTTTTCGATGGCGTAGGCCAAAGGACAGATACTCAGAGAGGAGTTGTCCAGTGATATCTGTTCTGCTGTGGGTATCAAGATTGTCGCTTCGTCTGCAGATTCTGTGTTACGACTGAATGTTGTATTATGTATATCCGCCTTTCCAGTGCTGTAGAACCTTAGGAACGAAGAGGCTGCAAATGTTGTTCCATTACTCGTCATGATTTTCGAAATTGTTTGTCTAAACACGCAGTGGCTTAAACTTATATCCGATGCGCCAATGTTAACAACTTGACCGCCTTTAGGAAGTGCAAAATTATTTAAAAATGTGCAATTCGTTAATTTCACGTTGTATTTGGTGACTGACAAAGCGCTGCCAACAAGTGCGATGTTTTCTTTAAACAATACATTGGCAATAACAGCTTGAAAAACTCGTCCAGGACTGTCGTTGATCTGTTTATTCTTATTACCGGTCACGGAGTCCATGAAAAATATTTCTATCGCACCTCCTGAACCGCCTATATGCTTGTTCCGGACAAAAGTTGAATCTTCCAATCTTAGAGAAGAGTTATGTAAAGACGCCCAAAATGCCCGACAAAAGTTGCTCTCAAATGTTGCATTCGTGATCAAAATCTGTGAACTGTTCATCGACAACACCATCACAGCGGGAAAACAGGGGTCAATCCTGTTAGAATGGATAATGGAATCTTTGAATGTCACTGAAGCTTGGCCCACAATGGATATTATTGCGTTTAAGCCAACATTCTCTCGAAATATGCAGGTATCCAAAGTTACATATTGGAATCTAGATTCACCTAAACTGAAAGATATACTGTTGCCGACCATATTCATGTTGAAGTGGCTGGTTGTATAAAATTAGTTAAACCATAAGTATACTGACCACAGTTGATTAAATAATCACAGTCCAGGTTCGCGGAATTTCTTACCACAATTTAATTGTGGAAAGATAGTGGTGGAATGAGCGGTCGAGAAACCGAACTGTAGTTTCGAGCTAGAGTGTTTTTTTTCTTAAATGTGCATTCTATTTTTGTCCATTTCTGGAATTGTCTGCTGAATTCAGTTGAGTACCCCCAATTGTGAATTGGATTATTGATATTTGTGCTCTGTGCATGTATTTAACGGGGCCTACACTGTTTAAACAATAGCACACGTCCGGTTCATGCGAATTCCCATTTCAGGCCATTTGATTATATGTTTTACATCGACAGGAATTCATGCATCTTCACTTGTTCTAGTGTTTCACCACCATATCCGATCTTCCATAATCCGACGTTGTTTAACTGCCGGGATATATCCAAGCAAGTACCTTAGATTTTAGTGCTTGAAAATTGAAATAGACTCCTCACACCATTCCGTCAACGTGAGCAGCCAAGTTGTCAATTCCGAGGGTCATGGGGCCACCAGGTCTTGTCGAGGTAGCCTTGTCTTCAACTGTTTTGATTTGTACACTTTCAACTCTTGTTAGACCGTGGGGGATCACACCGTTTTTCGGTTGCTTATCTTTAGGCCTCTGGAGTTTTTTCTTTTCCTTTTCCACTGAAGCAGGCTCTTGTGTTGAGTTAGCGCGGCTTCGTCTTTGCTCAGCCATGGATGAAGTAGAGTCGAACCTACTTAGGTCTTGGCTAGATCTGAATGTAGCCGACGAAGGCCTCACGAGTTGTGAGTTAAGTTTCAGGAGTTTTCGTATCTCGTTTTTTACGTCTTTTTTCCATAGTGCATAAATGATTGGATTTATTGCGCTGTTCGCTACTAGCAGCAGCCTTGAGGCGTTTGTCAAATCCCAAGGGACGTCCATGAGTTGGTACTGTGTTACAATGGTTCTGTATGCCGAAAGACTCCAACAGACAACAAACATTACCACAACGGTACCTATGGAGAAGTACAGTAGAATTTAGAGACATATTTGCACTGTAATAACAGTAAACAATCACCTTGCATCCATTTATTGGAACATTTTTTATTGGGTTAAAACAACTAAAATCATAGTTAAACAATCAGTTGTTTTTACCATTAAATAAAATTGATCAAAAATAGATGAATCTAAGACAACTTTAAGTTTCAAGTTAGTTGATTGATTGAAAACTTTCTTTCATGCAAGAGGGTAACAGATAACAGTTCGTAAAAACTGATGAACCACTGTCCCTCAAACTAAAAACATTAAGTTATTTACAATTTATCTAACTTAATGTATTTAGTTTGAGAGCCATGTGGTTCAGTTTAAATAGGTCCAAGTTTAAATAAGTTTTTAACAATTTTCTTTTACACAGTGTAAATATAGAATTCGATCTCTCGGCCTTTGCGATTTGTCCTGTTATCTAAAATTTTGGTGTTCATTGATTGTGAAAACAATAAATTTCTAAAGAAATGAATAGTTATAACTCAAAATTTTACATAGCGGGACAAAATCGTTAGGCTGGCTACGCCACTGTTTGTGAAGATACGTTAGTGAATGTCTATTAATAATTAGTATACACCTGACTATTGTCTATTACAAATCCTACATTCTGATTGGCTACTCAACCATCGTCTATTCGTGATAGTGCACGTTTGGGAAAAATTCGCTCGCGCGACCGTATAAAATTGAATTAATTAAATTATTTTTCGGTGAAATTTTGCGGTGTATCGATTATTTCCTCGAAATTAATATATCTAGGTACAGGGTGTATACTAAAACAATTAGACAACTCGCCTTCGTTGCCTATGAGCGGATAGTCAACTCAGGCTTCGCCTTCGTTGACTATTCGCTCATAGACAACTCGGACTCGTTGTCTAATTGTTAATTAGTCAATAATTATTCCGAAGTGCCTTATAATAGAATTGCAAGCCGAAGCAATTCATTGCTCATTAAAATCGAACGAAAATGCTTCAGCAACATGCATCCCAAAATTAAAAAGTGATAGTCATGTAGTTTAGAAAGAGCTTTCCTCCATAAACTTTGGAATTGGAGATAATTATTTCTGCATTCAATTATTCAAGCTAAATCAAAACACTGAAATAGACGAACGTTTTGCAATTAAAGCGTCAGTTTATGAAGACACTTTAGTGGAGAGATCAGTTTCGACAATAAAAAATAAGCCAGCAAGTAATATAGGATAAAAATATTTAGTGTTATAAGCTGACAAAATAGAGCTTGTTCCGAAGCTAGTCTTTACCTTTAAACTTTATTTTACTTGAAAACAATGAACACAATGAAAATTAGATCCGTGGCCAATTAATTTTTTGCGAAACAGCTATAGCCTATACAGTGATTTTCTCATGTCAAATGGTATTTAACAAGGAAATAAAAGAATCATATCTCTTGCACTCGTCATATATAAATGGCTGCATGGGAACTGCTGGTCTATAGTCCATCGTCAAATTGTATGAACGTCGAACATTAAACATCGCATATATCACTATATATTAATTCCATACGTTTCAGGTCTACTTTAGAATTATCATCGGGCTAACTACCAACAATTGCAAAAAGGGAATTATATGAAACCACTGTCTCTGCGAGTCGATATTATGATCATTTCATATCTTTTACTGGAACATACTTTGCATTTTATTGCGCAAAAAGAGAAGCTACCACTGCATATATAGCTATATTGAAATCTTATAAAGCCTGTTAAGACGTAATTTTTTGGATTTTGGAGTAAAAAATCCAGGCTTAACAAAACTTACCAAATACTTTCAAGGTTGCTTTTGCTTCCCTTGTAGATGAGGTTGGAATTGAGTTCGACCTTGGTCCTGTACCAACATTGCTGACACTTCGCATCACTTGTCTCATATGTCGCGTTTGTTTCCAGGCAATGTTAAAAATGACCACATATGCGATCAACATTATAAGACAGGGAAAGAACATGAATAATACAACTTGTAAGGTGTAGAAGATCTTGTTATCTTCCATTTGATTTTCGATGCTTGTGTCCGTATAGAGCCATGCCACAGGAACTAGGGATGCAATACTTGGTACGATCCAACTAAACATAATCATAGCTATAACAGATTTACGAGTGATTTTCATGTGGTACCTGAGTGGTCTTGTAACTGCTAAAAACCTATCGAACGTTATGCAACAGAGGTTGCAGACAGATACAAACAGGAACGCATCGTAGAACAGTTTTGCAAGAAGATTGTCACATGTGACGTACATGCACGCCAAAAACGATGGAATTATGCATGTTCCTACCAAAAGATCTGATACGGCTAGAGAAACGACCATGAAATTCGTTTTGGTACGTAAGCGATGTCTTGTAGCAATTAAATATATCACAAGCCCGTTGCCGAATATTGTTAGCACTCCGACTATTACCAAACCAACCTTAATCCAGACAGGGAAAGCTGGTGGGCTTGGCGGTGCCCCAGGTACAGGAGGATTTGTGCCGTTATTGCTTGTCGTTGGACCCGAAACTGTTGTATTTGTGGCGTTGTTCATCGGGGTAGCAGTCGTATTATTGCTGATGATGGTCGTTGTCATTTCAGTGGTGATGTTATTGATGGTGGTGGTAAGAATAGCTGCGACTGTGCTGGTGATATTAGTAACATTTGTACCATTGCTGATGGTACTATTCATCTTGGTAGCAGCTTCTTTGATTTACAGGCACCTTATTTGTTTTTATCTATGCCACCGAGTTACTCATACATAGGCAAAATAGTTTCGCAGAAGTCTGTTGTTTCGTTCCGCTTCAAATTGCTTGTTTCAAATTAGATTATCCCACAGGTCACCTACTCTTTCTGTCGCTGCTAACTTTTTTCACTTCTCCGCTTTCAAATCTACACTTTTTCCTAACCCAATCGTTCACTGTTACAGGCAGAATCGTGAGCAGCTTTGGTAGCGAACAGAACTCAAAACGAACAGCGTTCTATTTGTCTCGACGCTGGAGACCGTTTGCGAAAAGAATAGCCGGTCCGCTAGAAACGACAGGCGGTCCGTGAACTTCTAAAGCTCTCTAAAAGCAATCAAAAAAGTGTAAGTCATGCGATAAAACGAATTATGAATATCTTACACAGGGGCTCTGGAACAATTACAATGAAAAAGCCGCATCGGTGTCTCTTATAACCGCTTAAAAACGCTATTCTTTCATCATTGTCTACATTTTAGAATCGACAAATGGATTGGGACTCATCCAAGTTGCAGAAACGTGCGTATTTCTGCTGAAGCTTTGAACAAGTGCAGAAAAAATATACCCCGTGACACGACGGGGCATCGTGACTAACTATTCTGTCAAACTGCAAATGTGCATAAATCAAAAGCCTCATTGATTTTGAAACTGCATTAAAACCTAAACACACAACCTATTTTAGCGAAGTTATTTTTCCAATAACGTTAAAAAGTCGCGCTATATGCCATATTCAAACCAACCATAGTCTGATCATTGACTGCATATGCAATGACCACGGCTGAACTTTACTATAACGACGCGGCTTCCCAGTCGTCCAGTTCTCGGATTATACAGGAATTCATTAGTTTAGGTATGCTCTGCTCGAATTCGCCCTGTACTGAAGAACGTCGCGTCCTGTGTACTTGTCGAAGTCTAGTGATAGGATGCAAGAAAACTAGCAATTATAATGTCGACCAACTTCTTACATGAAACAGGAAATGCTAGGTTTTAGTAAAGATAGGCGTGACAATAAATTTTGTATAATTTCATAAAGAAGATTCATTTTCTTCAGTAGCGGGTTTTAAAGAAACCGCATCGCATTTTCCTTAGTGGCAGTGCAGAGAACTGATCGGTTTGCATCAAACGGAATTGTTTCCACGGCCATCCTTATCGAGTTATGAGCTTTGAACTATATATTTGTTGCCTTAACATCGCTATTTTAAACGTATATTCATACGAACACAGTTAGATATTGTACTTACCTCTTGCAACTGCCACTTAAACTATTGCCCAATTACTTGAGCGCTATATATGCGATGCATGATAACAAAATGAAGCAATACTTGATCTGTTAGTTTAAACCGTCTTCGCAGAATGGTTGCCAAAAAACACGAAGGTTCTTAAGTAGATCACTTGCCGCTTTGAATGGACGTTTTACTACACTATTTTTCTTCCTGGATCTACTCAGATTTATCGTCTTCAATCGGTCGAAGGTAAACGCAAAATGTCGATTCTGCGTTTCGCGAAAGAGAGAATATACTAACCACACAAGCGATAATTATAATTCGTCTAACCTGTGAGTTACATTCCATAACATTTCGCGTCATTTCACAAATATTTCTTAGTTTGTAAGATTCTATAGAGTCCTTTGTACACCACGCCAAAGGAGGCTGTCTATTTTTAGTCTACCCCGCCGTGTATCAGTTTATGATTATGACAAACATGGTCATAAATCGAGCCATTGGTACTCGTAAGCATGTGTATTGGAAACAGTTATAGATTGAGATAATTAAAACACATTTTTACATTATGCTGCAATATTGTGTGAGTCAATGAGTGACAGTGAAGCCAATATGACTAAGCGGAATTGCGTGAAGATATATTTGAATTGGAAACGGACAATAAAGCGATATAATGCTTGAGCTATGATAAAGAAGCTAAATTTGGCATGCAGTAACTGGTCAGCTGCCTGATAAAATAAAACGAATGAAGAGACAAGCCGCAACCGATTCCAGAGAGTTTCGTCATCCTAATTTTAGAACACTCTTGTCTCATATGATCATGTCGGATAAATTGAAATCGCCTAGCACACTAATAGACCCCTTGAGGCATTAATATAAGAATGATTAACACTTGAAAAACCTTGTCAATCAGTGGGAACTCCGTCCAGCTCAGAACCGACTCATTTACTCTTGTAAATGTCGTGCTTAAGGCGACAAATAAACTTAACTCAAAAAATTACACCGGTTTTTCAAATCGGTTCGTATCAAATGCCGTAACGGCCCGTAACGCTAACAAAATCACATCTTGTAAAACCGCCAGAGACATTCATTCAGCCATTTATAAATGAAGATCCTCGTATCTCCTGAGTCCTGAGTGATTCTCCTCCTAAACCAAACACGCGCCAACGCAATATTCCGATTCGACATTTTTCTGAGGAAGGAAGCACAAATCGGGATTCCGGATAATTGCATTTATTTATTTAGTGGCAGATTGGCGACTAAAATCGTACCTGCATGATATCAGTTTTAATGCAGATCAACAAAAACAAGGAAATATCTGAGGCCTTTCTCCTTTTGAGAAACTCTGATGGAGATAACCAGCTGTAAATAACTTATTATCTATGGTATATATTACACCGAAAAATGCGAACAATACAGATTGAATGTGCATTGAGGTCACCTAGTTAAATTACAAAGGATTTTTAAACATATTCCCATAGCTATTTTTCTTTCAGTTCAGATATCCTGCCTCATCAAAGAATTCTAATCACTACAGTCTTCGGTGTCATATGCTGGACTGATTTTTTAATTGATATATCCGATGTTAAAATGTCTGAGCATCCAGCTACTTTTCTGATCTCTATATACATACTGACATACAGTACGTAGCTGTGACGAGCTCTGCTCTTTTAGTTTCAACATAGAGCTATAGTCAGACAATTAATCCTTGTTAATATCGCCATCTTTTTCTCAGCAAATTTAATATTGCATGTATGTATAAGCTGTCCGAATTTGTTCCTCATGTTGGCTAAAAGCTTGATTTATAGACAACCTTTATTGCATTAGTGTTTTTGATTGTGCCCTCACAATTAACAAGATTTCGGCTAGATTATTTTTAAACTGTTAAATAAACAGCTAGCGATAAAATTGTCCTGCCATTTCAATGGTCAGTTCACGTGTATTGTTTCGAGATAGCATCTCATAGAAAATAAAGCATATCATGAGAATTTGTTAACAAAGCGAGTAATTACATGGAAGTGATTTTATTTAAAGTGGCGGCTCGTAATAAGAGGTTCCAGATTATTCTCAAGAAATTTATTTCTTAAACAAGAAAGAAAGGCGGAGTGTGTAATTGAGAATGAAAGCCGAAACCATGTTGAAATCGGAAAAGGGGTCTTCTCTCCTGAGGCCGAAGCATCGAGAATTTTTTTATTATTTTAGGCAGTTGCTTAACCAACAATGCGATATTAGTAGACGCTGCCATGCTGCTCTCTGGTGAAGAATAAATATAACCAAACTCAACATTGAGTGGTAATTCAGATTGGAGGCCAATATGCATGAAGGGACACAAACGTAAAGATTTTTCGAGAGCAGTGCGCTCACAAGGATCATTTAGCAGGAGAATTGCACAGCAATTTCTCGATGCTTGGCGAAAACCTTATTAATTAAAACAACTGGTGTTCGTTTTGGAAGAGATTCCGGAAGTATTGGGGGGATTTCCTTCATGCGCACGCATGCGGACCTATTTCTATTGTGTTCTGTGTTCTGTGTATACGGCTAAAAACTCTGAGCCCCCTGTTTAACCCAATTGAACAATTCTTCCGCCAATATTGTTCGCAGTTGTCAACAATATTGAACATTATTGTTGAAACTGAATCTGGTGTAACAATATTGTTCAATGTTGATGACAGCTGTGAACAATATGGGCAGAACAACATTGTTCAATCCTGTTCGTTATCAATATTGCATGTTAAGTTTTGCAAGTTGCACAGCCAGGCCATGATAGTCCAGTTTTAACACTTACAAGTCAGTCTCTCTAAATTGAGCCGGTATGTTTTTTTTGTTGCACAGCGGATTAACATTGATTTTTTTCAACATGGCCGACGCAGGTGAGAATTTATTTTATTACATATTTTATTATTTTAAACGTGTTTAGTCTATACTTTCCGTGTTTTTAGGAGCCTATAGACTGTGGGTACTATATTAGTGGTTTGCCATTACAGATAGTTCAATAAAAATACCGTTAACATGTTGACATGTCCGCATACGGCATACATATACAGGGTGTATCGGACTATCGGTGTTTTAAAAAAAATGGATACAGTATAAAACTTCAGTGCGATATTGTGCATAAATTACTTGATAAACAAGTGTAATGTTATTATAATAGATCAGATTTTTCGCTGCTGAATGGGCCAATGAGGCGTTTTTATACGAAATGGAGAAAAAAATGAGCAAATACGAGCTCGATTAAAAATAAAAAATTGGGGTGAAAATCGCATATTTCCATTGGGTATTCTGTAAAAAACTTTTGAAATTCAACACTCATTATTTGTCGCTTTTCCTTAGTTAATTGTTGTAAGCATCACATGAGTCATGAAACATATCATTCAACTCATAAATATCATGCTCCCTAATCAAGTAATTTATGCACAAAAATGCACTGAAGTTACCAAGGAACTACCAGAATTTTACCAGGAGCTACCAGAAAAATATGAAGAGAACTTGGGGTTTTCAGTATTTAGTAGTTTGAAGGTCTTTTTTTGCAAAGTACATTTGCTATTTTTGCGATATCTAATGTTCAGACATGTGACCTAGGTGTAGATGTGTCCTAGTGTGACCATGATTTGGATGTGTCCTAGCCCACTAGCTGAATCTTTGCCAACACATAATAATGGGTGCTTGCAGTCTACATGACTTCTTTATTTATAGTCCAATAAGGGCAAAAAAGACAAGAATAGTTGAATACTTGTATTGCCATTTCCAGCCTTGATAGTGGATCCAGAATTATTCTTTTCTATAACAATCCTTAGCAGAATTTCTGCTTTCAATTTGTTGCATTTTAAATTTAGACTTAGAGCTGGATTCAGAAAGAGCCTCGGCAAACTTGACTCATCAGACTGTTAGAAAGAATATTTCTTTGAAATTGAAACCGAAAACTGAAGGAAAGCCGAAGAAAAAAGACAGAAAGAAAAGTGATAAGAAAAGCATAAGCGAAGGTATAGCTACAATTGTAGTTGGAATTCAAAAATTGTGGGAAGGTTTTAAATTCCTCCAAATGGAAAGTCTTTAAATTCCTCAATATACATATGTAAAATTAATTATCATTGATTGCACTAGGTGAGAAAGAAAGCAAAAAAAAAAAAGCGTCAATTGAGGCAGCTTCTCTTGCAACAAAATCTGGAAATGAATTACTATGGAATCAACAGGTAACTGGGACAGATAACTCCTGTTTTTTAGTGCCTAACATCATTTAGTGCCTAAAATCATAATTGATTTACCCCCTCACCTATTCCCGGCATTACCATCATATACATGTACATTGTACACATTAACCATGCTTGCTCTTGTCAGCTACCTCTGTAGCTCAGTGGCAAGAGCATTGCACTGGCATCGCAAAAGCATAGGTTCGATTCCTGCTGGAGGATCGATAGTTGATTCATTTTCCATCAACTGTTCCTGGCTTCAATTTGAAGCTGAATCTGTATAATTCCACTCAAAATTAAGACCCTTCGAACCTATAGAATTTACCAACATCAAGTGAACTGCCTAATATCATAACTTTCTATTGTTTTCAAGTTGTTGCTTATTGGTCAAAAAGTTCAAGATCCCTTACTTCATCAATGTGAAACATGTGCCTTGCCAATACTGCTGTATGGAAGAATGGTACAAACTTGTTTTGCTTTATACTATATTTAGTATTGGTACTTCATGTTATATGCACGTGATGTACAATATTTTGTTGTTGTGTATGTTTCAGAGTCCATGTAAACATGCATTCTGCCTGTCTTGTGCTGAGAAAGCCAGTGGAAAATGCCCCAGGTACATACCAAGACTTCATTTTATATTCCTGCATTTGCTGTCTTTAAAGTCCAGTCTGATTGGAAAATCATCTGTAACCTACCCAATTTGGCATTTACCAGTCCACTATCTGAAAACTTTTTGTCAATTGGTTTTTTTTTGCTTATCCATTGCATGCAGTACCACATTCTAAAGTTTTGTTTAGTTGTTCTTCGCATTATGTATACAATGAGTTAAAAATTATTGTACACATATTATTTTACAACAGATGCATGCCTAGTCCAGGCATTTATATCAGTTGTAGGCGCCTTGCTACAGTCCTAGCAAAGGCGTTCCCCATTTTTTCATAACCTCTAAGTTGTCAAAAAAGACTTGCCAAATCAGCCAGTAGCTAACACACTCCCGCGTTACACATTAGATGCGGTGAAATTGTACAACGTATCGAACCAGCTCGCCTGGGTCATGTATTCGTGTGTTCCTTTGGGGGCAGTCGCTATGGTATATCGGGCTGTAGACGTAGCTACCTCTCTCAACGAGATCTCCACGCTCATA